AAAATGCACTAGGAAATACTTCAATTTTCAGATGGGTCACTTTGACCCATCCGTGGTACAAATTATAATTAATTAAGAAAATCAAATAGATTATGAGTTAATTGTATTTGTTTAAATAGAAACGATCATTTTATGCGGCAGTAAAATTTCGAGTTGTTAAAAACACTTTATTGGTTCTTTCGCAGTGCGAGGCTTAATCGCAAACGATAAAATGTTTTTTTTTCTCTTTATAATAGCATTGTTGGAGGAGATGCTATAAAAAAAGGAGCTTCGATTAATGCCCTTAAGATTACTGCTATAATATAAGTTAAATTTACTGTGTCTGCTTTATGATGCATTCCATTTTTCAAATGTATTACATCAAAACATTAAATTATCCTTACTTTTTTTTTCTTCTTCTTCAAATAATCGTAAATTTATTTACAGTTTCTTTTTAGTGATTCTTCACTATATTTCCTTGTGGTTTATAGAATTGTAAATAAATAGTTTTATTACTGAATAAGACATAAACTGTAATATAAAAGTTATAAACAAAAAATCAAATGAAATAAATAATGAAATAAATTTGTTTGCTAAATGATTTTTATTTTATAAATTATGTCTAAATATTTATTTTTTTGACTTATTTTTATTGTATATATAATTAATTAGATAAATCCAGAAATTCCTCGCATAGTGCGGCTTCGATCAGTCCGGATTCATAATAGTACGGTTTAAAAATTGTTAAATCAGACTAAATTTTAGTTGAGAAAATTACTACACAAATATTTTTTTTTATACATAACTTTTTTTTGTCTCTTTATACAGTCTCGATTAGTCCGGTTTCAAACAGTCCTGGATATTGTCGGTGCGGTATTCAGAATTGATGCAATATGTAAAAATCTATAATCCTTTGATTTTTGGCTAATTCTGTATTTATTTAGTATTTTGATAATGTAAGATAAGGACCTAATACAATTCCTTGAGAAACTCCATAAATGTAATGGCTATACAATTTGATACAGCAAATAAATCTTACTTAATGCATAACTTTGACGTTAAATATTACATCATTGTTAAGATAAGTTGTCATAACCTTAAATATTACTTAATCGAAAAAAAATAAAGGGCTTTTCACAAAAAAGTAAAAAGATTGCAAATAAAACTTAATACAATCCTGCAAAGGTCCGTGCCTCGCCCTTCACGCTCCTAGCATCTCAGTCGGACGATATTTTTTTATTATCCCCGGAAATGATATTTTGCATTTTAAATTTTTCCCGCCCTTTTCCCTTCCATCATCCCCCCAAACACACACCACCAACGACATTCATAATACACACGCGCGCGCTCACGGGAAATAATCTTTGCGATTTATTCCGGCAATTCGTCACTGTTACCCATACATTTATTTTTATTTTTTTCTCCTTTGCACTCGCACGCAAACACATATTTATGCAAAATAATCATGAAAACCGAGCTCGTTCAAAAATTTAAATATTACCTAACCCGTCTCCTCTTTCTCTCTTTATGTCGGTCTCATTAAAATTGATTAAAATGTAGTTTGGAGAAGTTCATTTATATGAGTAGGAGAGGAATGTTCGTAATCCGGGCTGAAGTCAGCGCCACAGTAGAAACACAAGTGTTTCCACGCATTCCCATAAATAAACCCTTCCCAAACAAACATATTTGGTGCAGTAAATTTCGCAAAATTGCTGCCGATTTATACTTTTACTCGTGTTTTTTTTGTTGTTGTTGTTGTATGTTTGCATCCGCGTGTATTTTTGCGTTTTTAATGATGTAATATGTTATTCTATTACGCGCAACTGGGAAACAACCCTCCGTTTTGTGCGGTGATTAAAATTGCAGTTTTTTTTTTTAATAAAACCGAAATGTGAACAATTAAACTTTGCATATAATCATTTATTAAATATACGAAAATAATAACAATTTAAATATGCGTATGTGTACACAGATATTTTAATTAATTTATAATTAAATCAACTAACAACAGATGGCGTAATTATTAATTACAAATTTAATAATGAAAACAATATTGTATTGACAAGAATATAACGCAAATAAATTTCAATATAAAAAATAAACCCATCATTAATAATATAAAAATATCATGAAAGTTTCGTTTTTCAATATTCCATAGTCAACTATAATCGAAGTAAATTTCCAAAACATTATGGAAATAATATGAATCAAATATTAGTTAATTTAGTAATATTTTATTTATTTGTCCGAAAACATTGAAAAAAGTCAGGAAAAAATCCTTAAATGAACATTTGGTCTAGATGAAGAACATACAAGAAATATCCAACGATTCAATGAATAAGTATAGTTCTTGAAATGAAGTCAGTAAGAAATCTTTAAGTGAAGACCAAAAGTTGTAGTAGAAAGAAAATGTTGATTCATTGAATGCAGAAGATAAAGGTTTTCAGTGAAAAGCTTAGAAAATCTTGTTATCAAGAAAATGACAAAGAAAATGAAGACAAAATTAAAGATGTTCTTGCAAAAAAAAAAAAAAACAACCAAAAATTTAAAAAATTACATTGAAACAGTATTGGAAATTATGCTTAATAAAAATTTTCTTTATTCGAAAACAGAAAAACTTTTCATTTTCATTACGAACAAACTCATCCTTGTTCTGCCCATTGCATTTTAGTTTTGAAAAATTAAACCTCTGAAAACGAAGTTTCGCTTAATGAAGAAATTTTGTAGAACGCATCCATTTGTTAATCGAGATATGAATGTATTTAATTTGTTTTATATACATTTCATTATGTTTAAAGTGTGGTGTCCACTTTCTCTAAGTGAAAGTAAACATATTTATGTATAAAGTACTGGTCGAGGAACTGGGGTAAATTATTCCAAATGGGGTAAAAGTACATTCTAGTCTATCCATCTTCTTGTTTATGAATCCATAAAAAATACTAGAATTGGCTAAAAGTCTTCACGTTATAATCAAGTAATATTTTGGGGTAATTGGTAAATAAATTCCCTGACCTTTGGTATAGGTGAAAACAGAATAAATCTCTTTAATTAAAATATTATTAAATATATATTCAATATGAAACATATTTGTGTGTACATACAAATTGTTTAGGAATTTGATGGAATTATATTAGTCCTTAGAATCTTCCGCTTGAATGCGGTCTTCATCAACTCGGAACAGTGTATTATGAAGCGGCTTTGGTTGCAAGCAGAAACTTTAGGGAAAGTCCAGGTGCTTGGAAAGGAATTCAAGGAATTCGTCCGTCCGACCGTCCTGCATCACGAGCACACAGTGTTCATGATTGTGTCTCTCCCCTTCCTTGAAGTCGGGCACATCCCCAAATCGATTCCTGATTCCATTTGATTTAATTAGGCGCTTTGAGGACCGATTCCCTTCTTTTCCATCTCCTCCGCCAAAATGGGACTTCTCCAATTCCTCAAGTCAATTGAACAGGCGGCGGAATTAGATTTAAAATCAATAATCAATGGGATATTATTTTCCAAAAGCAAATACATTTATAGCGACGACCGAAAACAACCGTGAATGAAAACCCAATTCCTTTTCATAATCTTATTCAAAATCGAACGTCTTTCTAATTTTCATTTTACCGATGTTTGATAATGATTTGTCACCTCAACAACTCTCATCATACGTTTATTTATTTTTATATATAATATGTCACTTCGTATCCAGTTTGAAAGCATTAAAGGATTTCCGTTTCGGCCTGTTGACGTGACCTGTCGGAGAGTGTTTTCGCGTTTTTGCGAAAGTGCTCGTAATTAACGGTTTATAAATTTCCGTTTCGGTTTAGTGGATTAGTTTCGTATAATATTCTGATGGCGGTTCGAAGGATTAGCTAATACCTGACCCGAAAACTTTCCCGTATGAATGTTTGATGGCGTTTTTGGGTGGATGGGGAGGGTTTACACTCGGTCAGGCTAATCTCTGACCTGTCGTTAATTGTTTTGTTGATGGTGGTCAGTGTGTGTACACTTCTAAAACAGCTTTGCCGGAAACCACTTTCACGTTTACTATTACCTAACTCTGTTTTAACACAATATTATGTCATAAATTTAATTTTATCCTCGCAATTTATCACGTTTTTCTAAAGAAAAACTAATTTAAAATCAAACGAAAAAGTCAATTTAAAAATAGTTTTTACAAATCTTAAAAGAGCCGCAGGTTGCCGACCCCTAGTTTATATTAACTATGAAATGCAAAATAATTACTATATACTTACATACTAACTAATGAAGATTGTAAGTAACGGCAGGTGTCCACTTTATTAGTAATTACATTAATAAGATATTACACTTCAATTGTATTTGAAATTTTGTATTATAGTTAAATACATATTTACTTGAAATTGTCTAATTAAAAATAAAGTGAGGATTTAAGAACAACCGAAAAGTATTTACTTTAAATTATAATTATAGTAGTGATTGAAGAAGAATTGGTTTATGATATCAAATTTTATCAATTAATTACTAAGTAAGTGTTTGGGTTTTCGATGGAATCCAAAAGTTGTTTCCAAATGAAAATTAATCAGTTTATTAAGGAGACTTGATTAAATTTTCGTTTGAAGGACCCCACTTGAGATATGGTTCATAGTTAAGAATGCGGTGCGTGCGGCTGCGTCTAAACACAGTTCTGAACATTAATTAGTTGGTATTTTTCCCACTTTCTGCTCCTATGGAGTAATAAGTTAGTTAACGGTGGGGGTTTATGAATTAGGGTAAGTTTGCCCCGAAGGCTGCGAACTTATAAACTGGAACACAATGGTTAGTGTTAGGATGGTGCACACAATTAAGGATAACTCATAACCCTCAAGACGGTCTGCGGCAACTTGTAATTAGTTTTAGAAGGAAAGCCCCTAATTGGCACCGGCCAACCACTAATTCAAAGACTTTTCCACCCACAACCTCACCGTTAAAGGAGCTCTCACTCTCACAATGAAGAGTGTCCGAGCAGTTTCTTAATGAATCGAAGAAAAAAAAAGAAGAATGGGACAAACACTTACGGTTAGTGAAGCACAACGTCCAAAGTCCGGAAACGGTCATCTTGGAGAGGAAATCCCGATCTCCTGTACCGTTGTAAGAAGGATTGTGCATCTTCTCTTCGGTGTGAAGCCACTGGTTGGTGAAGATCGCCAAGAGGATGACCACCAAGGAGACGGTAGCTGCCAGAGGGGTGAGGATCCAGAAGAGCGTGAGGTTATTCTCCAAGGGACCCAATCTTTCGTCCTCGCCGTTGGGCCTGTGCCCACGGCCCATGGACCTCTGCATAATTCAATACCGCTGGTTGTTATCATACGCCTCCCCAGCCCAGCAGCCCAAGATATTTTATCCTATCTCATCATCATCTCACTGTATTCCAGCTCTGATCTCTGCAACAGAATACGATATACATAATACTGTACACAATACTGTAGCAATGTCATCGCAACGTGTGTTATTATTTAATGCGTTGCAAGCAATCACGGGAATGCACATTCGGGTATGCAATGAAGGAACATCAGATGTGTTCCATATCGTTTGAAGTTCGTAATTAAATTAGCATAGTTTCGGTAGCAAATATTATCACCGCTGATAAAATACGCGCTTCCGCAGAAATTCATCGTTATTAAATCATTAATTCTGCCAGAAACCGAACCACACCATTATTTGACTTCACATTGTCTCCCTTAATTACTCCACTATCTTTGTTTCTAATTGGAACTAACTCATACCAAAATACATAAAATTAGCTATTCCTTTCAGTATTTATTTTCTTACAACAAAATAAATGTAGTAGTATTGACATTTCATGACAGCAATGAAAATGACATTGACAGCTGTCAATAATTTGAAAATATTTTGTTCAAATAAAACAACTTTTAGATTCTTTACATTCTTGGAAAGTTAGAATTAATGATTAAAATCTTCTAGTTAAGGATAATTTGGTATAGGTGTGAGCTTAACTGCAAATTATATTGTCAAGGTCTTTGTTGAAGAATCTGTAGACAATGTAGATAAGATAATCCAAGTACTTACATCTATGATGAAATAATTTGATGATACTTCATTAGTTTGATAAAGTTGAAAGTCTTATAGGATATTTTACTTAATTTGAATGAATTTAAATCAAAATATTCTCATTATTTCTATTTGAAAACCAAGAAGTGGCAATTATTTTCGTGTCAATTCGTAAAAGTACAAAACAAGAATTTCCTTTTAATTTAATGGTCTGCGAAAAATGTATACTTAAATTATTCTTCGCCGGATTAAATATGAAAAGCGGAGCTCGTTGATTATGAAGATTTATCCAATTGAAAGCCGCCGCCGAGATCCTTATTTTATTTAATTTACCAGCAATAAAAACAAAGGGCGCCGACAGGGTCTCCCCCTTTTCAACAACCGCTCATTCCTTTTTTCCTACCACTACCACCCTGAAGGAAGTAAGAAAAGAAGCAAAGAAAGAAAGTCTTGGAAAGTCCACCCCTCATCCACCATCCCTTATCCCAGCGAAAGGTTGGGGTAGGGTTTTAAGGCGACGGCGAAGGAAGAAGAAAACGCTGGGCGTCTAATTAATTCCGCTCTTAATTCCCGATGGAAAATAACTAAGATTTATTGCGCTAATGCGAAGAAGCGGCGGCGGCTCGGGGTGTATAAATAAAATGAAATCAAATTGGCTCACGTCCACAACTTCATATTTATGTTGATTATTATTCTTTCTTTCTCTTTATTATTTTGTAACCAAAAATTATTATTAGTCTTTATTTCTGTGGAAAAGGACGAGAGGTGCGGGTATCTGCACGGTTTTAATTAAAACTTCAAATGCATGCGAGATGTTTTTTTTTGTGAATAAAGGCGCAAACCCTACCGGAACCGGAACTCGCATCCGCTCCGCAGATGAGGAATTTGCATCTACTCTACACCTAACATACGAAGCTTTTATATTTGATAATTGCTTAAAGTACTAGACTGTACATGATCTAGTATCTAGTAGTATTAACATTTGATGACAGCTATGACAGTGACATTGACAGCTGTCAATATATTGCTACTATGAAAGTAACTTTGCAAATTTGATGAAGTGTGGAAGCTTTTCTATCAGGAATTTGCATCCACACGAATTTACAAAGGTTTTATAACTGCTTAAAGTACTTCTGGTTAGAATACCAACTAGACTGTATATGATCTAGTATCTATTAATATTGACATTTGATGACAGCTATGACAGTGAAATTGACAGCTGTCAATATATTTCTACTATGAAAGTATCTCTGATAATTTGAAGCTTTTCGATTCGTATTTCTAGCAGGAATTTGCATCCACACGAATTTACAAAGCTTTTATATTTCATAACTGTAAGTACTTCCACCTGAAATTCCAACCAATGGAGGTGCTATTACTAATATTTGGTGACAGGGACAGCTGTCAATATCTTACTACTCCTATAATTAGAATTACTTTTTCAAGTTGCCACTATAGACATTACTTGTGACTAAAAAGGGAAGTTTGCAAATTGAATGTAGTGTGGATGTATTATTATTTATATATATTGCAGAAATTTTCATCCGCACTACACCTAACATACAAAGCTTCTATATTTGATAACTGCAAGTACTTCTAGCTGAAACATCAACTACACTTTATATGACCTAACTAATAACATGAAGTTTGTAAAAATGACATTTGATGACATCAATGAAAATGACATTGACAGCTGTCAATATATTGCTTTTCCTACAATTAGAAGTATTTTATCGAGTTGTCCGTAGACACTACTTTTGACTAAGAAAGAAACTTTGCAAATTAGAAGAAGTGTGGATGTATTAGCATTCGTATTTCTAGTTAGTTGTCCAACTTGACATTATACAACAGATGTTACTAATAGAGGTCGATGACAGCTGTGAAAGTGACATTGACAGTTGAATATTTCATATATTTTAATGACACCTTGCTGTAATTAGGCTCACATCACAGAGTGTGGATGCATCATAATCAATATTTGCTTTGAACATAACTTCATGCGTTATCATCGTTCCTTTTAGTTTTTGATCGTGGCTGTAATTAAACGGTTGGGTTCGATTTTCCACAGTGAGGCTTTGTCCTCGTCGATGGGCATTGTCTCTTTCGCATAGTAAATGATCCTCTCCGTAAGCGAACCGTTATAAATTCAAATTCAGAGATAAGTTGCACAAGGCCCGGACCTGAAAGCGGCCAATATTGAATATCTGTCAATGCTGTTTCTTCGATTCCTGTATTCATCTATTAAAGATTACTCCACCATCCTTTTCCTTCTCTCTCTTGTCGTCCATTCTTTGTTTGCAAGGACATTATCTGGATGTATCTATCTATATTTGCACACGCTTTTAACTTTGGCATCTATGGACAATGGTATTTCATATTAATATACAACAATGCTGTACTTATTCGATATTTGATTCATTATCAATGTGTGAAGTATGAAAGACGTTCCTTCGATATACAATCAGTTCTTGTACCTCAACGTACATTACTATAGGAAGAATAGAAATAACACAACATTAGGAGCGTAGCAAATAATAGTATCATTGTAGTTACAACTAATTTTAGATGAAATGTTTATTGATAATAATGTCTATTATTTCAGAATATATTGTACAAAATATATACAAAATTATTGCAACGCAAGTTTGAGTTTCCAAGAGATTTGAATACATAAATAAAATATTAGAAAACTATTTTTTTTAAGTTTTCAAGTTTCACATTATTTTTTTTATTGAATTTGACTTCCATTAAACGAATTTTTGTATTAAAACAATGCGACGGAGCAGTTGATGTGATGCGCCAAGAAATGGATTATCCATTTCGTAGATGTATGGAATTTCGTTCCGATTTAATAATAGAAGTTAAGACGTGATAAATCTACGTAGGGTGGAATGTATCAAACTGGGTTGACGCGTCCCCCAAATGATTTCCCATCTAGCGGAATTCATCTCCATGCGTATTGCAATAATAGCGGTTATAACTCAACCGCCCTCCGCACAAGCCCAGATCGTTGACGAACGCAAAAAGAAAAGATGAAGCGAAGGAGGAAGGAGAAGAATAAGTAGAAAGAAGTCACTTTCCTCGCCATCCCCTTATGCATATAGGCATGCAGATTATTTTTCCTCCGTCTTATATTCAACCCCTCTTAGAACTGTGAAAATTTCGCGATTTTCATGGACCGTGCAAAAAAAAACGAGAAAAGAAAAGGGGTGGCTGACTTAGTGGTTGGGGATGTGAGGTGAGGGTTTTTCGTCTGAGGGATTTATACTTGTTATTCCGCGGCTGCCGCGGCGCGCGGTTCCCGACTTTCATAGCCAGTTTCTTCTTCCACCAGGATAAAAAGATATATAAGGGTTCTCGATGTTTTAAGGGAGATGTACGCTGAAAAGAAAGGGATGGTGTGGAGTATACACGTATATATTTTAAAGCAGCTGTCCTCGCGGGACCCCAAGATGGTAATAGCCTTCGTCGTCGGGGAGATTCCGAGGAACTTGAATAGTTCTCTGAGACGAGGATGGGAAGTCTACTCTTCTAAGTTATGGCTAGAAAAGGAATTGGGGTGGCGAATGCAGGAGACAGAGAAAGGGAGAATCAATCTGCTGGGGGTATGGAACCGCACCACACCATAAACATCAATTCGACGACTTGATAACCCAATGAAACTGCTCTAATTTTCGGATACATCCTCCTCGACACAAGCCATTACATACCAAGATTGAGATATCGATTTCGGTTTTGGTACCTCTTTAAATTGGCATTCGAAAGAAACTAATAAATATAGTACTTTTTTTCTACTATATTTATTGGTATAAATTATTGGATAAAGTTAGATGATTGTCCATTATATTACTTGCTTTATAAGTGATGTAAATGAAGAATAAAATAACAATTTCAATTACAACCGAAACCAAAAATTCGGACCATAAGACGCTTTTTCTTACATAGAAAAATCGACTTAAAATTGGATTGAGTCTTATGGTACGAAGGTAATGAAATATAATTTTCTTAAAATTGTCTCAAACATAAATTCATGAGCAATTTCTTAGAAAACGAATGGAAGGAAGAGAAAGAAAAAGACGTTCTTGGACATAAAAAAAGATTAGTTTTAAGCGCAAATTAAAAGTTTTTAATTAATTAACTAATTATAGTTATAAATATGATATTCTCGTTTAATAAAAACAATAGTTTAAATAAGAAATTAAAGCCTAATTATGACATAAATATTGCCAGCTTGCAAATTAAAATAAACCATTGCAAAATATAGTTTTAAAAATATTTTTATATTTCTTTTTCGACTTTTTTATTTAGATTTTAACGATGCAACAAAAAAAGTAAATCTGATGCTGCAGTTGATTGCAGATGCTGGCTGGCA